GAGCAGGGAGCCCGATGCGGGGCTCGATCCCAGGACCCTGGGATCATGACCTGAGCCAAAGGCAGACACTTAACAACTGAGCCACCCAGGTGCCCCAAGACACACATTTTTATCCATCTGGTTTATTTGCCACTACCTATTAGTTTTGGATCTGACACCCCTTCTTCAGTCACGTTACCAGTAAAGGAGGTCAGGGAGACAAGTTCAGAGTTTGGGTCAGCAGAGGGTAAGCATGGAGAGGCTAGGAGGGTGGTGGGAGGGGTGGGGCTGAGCCCCTCAGGAGTAACTGCCTGGCCCCCCTAGAGGGATGACGAAGACCGAGATGTCATCCCCGGAACCCAGCTTGTTGTTGGGGAGACGCCAGCCACGGTCCCTGGGGATGCCCCGGGCCCCCAGGACCAGAGCTTGGGCCAGAGCTGTGTACCTGCCAGAAGCACACGTGCACATTCATGTTCCAACATGTATATGGGAAGAGCGATACACAGGCCCTCATGTGGGGCCCCCAGCATTGCTTCCCTTTGCCCCTACCTTCCCCACTGTCACCCCCGCCCCCACCGCCATACGAGCCCTACCTGCTGGCGTCATTGGGCTCATAGGCCGACAGCACCCTGTCCACAGTGGCAGCTACCTCCCAGTCACTGGTCACATCCCACAGTCCATCTGTTCCCAGGACTAGCACGTCATCTGGGCAATGCTCGTACTGCCTCAGGTCATACACTCGCACCTGGTGGGGAGAAGAGAGTGGAGAAGGAGCTGGGGGACAAAGGGACCCTGGGAGAAAGCCAGTCCGGGGCCCCCAGAGGGAAGGTATAGTTGAGGAAGCCCCCATACGGCTCACCTCAGGGAAGCAGGAGAGGAAGGGCTTGATGGGCAGAGTGGAGCTGCAGACCTTGAGGTTGTGGTCTCCCAAGCCCCGGGTCACCCCAATGGTGGCCATCACTCGAGCCTAAAGGGAATGAGTATGGGTGCTGCCACGGGCCTCTCCCAGCCTCTGAAGCTGTGGGCCCTCCCACCCCTGCCCTGGGGTAGAACCTCCACCTCCCTAGACAGGTTGTGGTGGGTCCTCCTGCCCTCTCCCACCTCTACCATGGAGTTTACCTTTTTGCCCTCCCCACAGACCAGAGGAAACCTGAGATCCTCCAGCTCGATCTTTTTGTAGGCCCTGGGGAGGGGGGGAGCAGAGGATGCATCACCCAGGCATCAAAGCCCCTCTCCCCGAGGAGCCATGCCCCTCACACAAACCCCTAAGAAGGACCACATGCCCCCAGCCCCCAGACTGGCCCCGCCTCCAGCTTCCACCTTGCTGCTGGTGAGGGACTGGTTGTGCTGCCATGGGAACGGGCCCCAGTTCTGAAGGAAGTGTTACCAGCCGGTCATGTTCTGGTCCCGGTACAGCATCCTCTGCCCCAGCTCCTTGGGCTGAATTCTGCGGGGGAACTCAAGGTGGGTGAATTCACCACCTAGCAGCTCTGGTTTCAGGAAGCCCTGCGGTTGGGAGTGGCCGGACAGAGCAGAGGGCCAGGGGGGCATTAGGCTTAGAGCACACCCTGCCGTACAGATGAGGTTAATTACAGCAGGGCCTTAAATGGGGTTTCTTTACCATGTGCCATGCACTGTTCTAATACGAATAATGTATATGAACTCGCCGAACCTCAGGACAACCCTTAAGGCAGGAGCTACTGATGCCACTTAAGGGAACCATCTGCACGTCAAACAATGAGCAAAGGGCTCGAACCAGGATTCAATCCCAGGCAGTCCAGCTCCGGAGTCAGTACTTTAAAGCACTAAACCATACTGCCTCTCAGGGACCTTGGCTACTTCCTTTCCCCGCCTCTGACTCCACTTCCTTCCTCAGCGGGGGCCACAGTGGGAGCCCCAGTGGGAGCCCTGGAGTAGCCCACATTCTTTCCTGCTACGTACTCTACCAGCTCAGCCATTGCTGCTGAGCAGAGCGGCCTTCCCAGTGAGCAGCCAGTAAGGAGCGGTCTGGGTGGTGAGGGTGGGGCCACAAGCCACAGAGAGCCACGAGAGTCATCAACAAAGAACGGGAGCAGGAAGGTTAGTTCCTACTTACAAGCAGCTGAAGACGCTGGCGCTCAGTCTCCGGGGTGAACTCGCGGGACATGGGAATGATTTCACCATTCCGGACAATGATGGCTCTGCCCAGAGAAAGAAAAGGTTTGGGCTGGGCTCTCCTCAGCCCCCTTGTGGAGAATTCCAGAAAGACCAGGGCTTCCCCACAATGACCCTTGGGGTTCCTCACCCAGACCCCCATCTTTCCTCCCCTTGTGGCTATTTCTGGCCATCCCTTATGTCTGTGACCGCTCCTGACACCATCCCTCCCTCCAGTTTTTGATTTGTAACACCCACCACCTCATTCTTCTATTCCCCCATCCCAGAGGGTGACCCCCTACCCCCTCCCCATACCTGCTGTCCCCTGCATTGGCCACATACACCTTGCCTAGCAAGTAGACCACAACCAGTGCACAGCAGCCCCCCTCCACTTGGTGGCCACGCCGCTCCCGGGCCATCTGCTCATCCTGCCATGTGAGGAAGGGTCAGAGGGGGTGAATGAAGAACAGGTTCCAGGCCCACAACCACTGCCCCCATCTGCAGAAATAAACTGGCCCAGCCAAGCCACACTGGAGGAGGGGAGGGCAGACATGGGTATAACTCCCCCTTCCCTCCCCTCTGAACCAAGCTCTGCTCAGGCCCTCAAAGGTGTTGTGGGTACTCAGGGCCCCTTAGGCTATTTGATTCCCGTACAGAGTTGACCAGAGTATCTGCCTAGCAGGCTCCTGCCCGGGGACCACCCACTCACCATGAACTGGAAGGCATTCTCTATGGCCCCCACTACCAGGCTCTCATGGGTCACTTCCTTCTGTGAAGACCAGCAGGACTGAGGACCAACCAAGTGAGAAGAATCAGAGGAACCTGGGGCTCCTGGGGTAGACGGGAGGCAGAGGGGCGGTGGCGAGGGGTCCTGGAGTATCTCTACCAGGTCCTTTAGCTGCTCCCGGATGTGGCGGTGCAGGAACCTGGAGGCCATTTCGGCAGCTCCGCCCCCTGCATGCCCATCAAACAGGCCCCAGTAGTAGAAGCAGAGTCCCTGGTGGAGGAAAAGTTGGAGGTGAATGAGGGAGTGTGTGTGTGTGTGTGTGTGTGTGTGTGTGTGTGAGATACAAGGAGAAGAGCAAGACTCTAGGCAACCATACAAACATCAGAGAGGAGGTCAGAGTTTGGTATGAAAGGCAAATTAGATTTATTCACTCATTTACCAAGGGCCTATTATGTGTCAGAAAGTAAAGCATCAAAAAAAGCCAAACTCGGAGGATAAAAGATACAAAAATAAACATTGGCAATGAATTAAATCATCCATAAATACAGGAGCACCTACATTCTAACTGGTAAATGGAACACTTATCCTGACATTCTAACTGGTCAATGTCAGTTCTGTGCCAGAGGTAGAAAGCTAGTTGGGTGAGGAGTTAGGTCTGAGATTTAAAACTGGATGCCTAGAATCCGCGGGGAGAGGTGTCACCATCTCTGGAGGCGAGGGAAGGGGGTGGGGGCTTACCTGGCCTTGGCTAGGCTCCCTAGGCGCCCCTGAAACACTCCTCTGACCTTCCACATACACCACCTCACAGCAAGCCTGGTCCTCATTGTGCCGACTTTTGCCAGCGTTGATGACCCTGCCAGGCCAGAGTGACCACATCAGGTTGGACACCAGGCCAGGTCCTGGAATAACCCCCACCTTAGACACACACACCCTCTCTAGCCTGCTGGCCAAACCTAGAAAGGTCATAGCCACCTGGGATCCAGGCCAGAAAGAGGAGGAGAAGGGAGGCAGGGCAAGGCACAAGGAATACCATCTGGGCGTCAGGCCCCACCACCTCACAGAAAGGCCAGCAGCAGCTTGTTCCTGCCTCGGTTCCCCGGTCCCTGGCAAAGGGCGCACCCCCACGGGCTGCTGGGGAAGGGGCTGGGCAGGGGCAGCAGGAGATCTTAACCACCCTGCTTGCCAAGACCCTCCATCCCACCCTGGAGCCTAATCAACTTTTCTAGTGCCTCGTCCACAGCACCCCACCCTCATGGGCACACCCACCTTTATCTTAAAATCATCCAGTGAAAGTTTCTGCTGCTTTGGCAGTGAGGAAGTGCTCGAGCCCAGACAGGGAAACAGGAATTGAAATAGGGTAGGGGTGGAAGCCCACCTGGACTGCGCAGGAGCCACAGAACCACCAACTCTTCTCAAACAGAAAGCTAAAGGAGCTAGTGGTGGGGCCCGGGGTCTACCAGCCACCACCCTCAGCGACCTCAGCGCCCCCATCTCCCTCAGTGCTCTGCTTTCCCAGTAGATACATTAAAAATACACGCGGCCTGGGGGTCAGCCGGCGGCTCCCCACTACGACCGGGCGTCCACTTCTTTGCCAGGCCAGTGCCATGCCCTCCCTCCGAGAGGCATTCAAAGGGGACCCTCCTGCTTCCCCGGGCGGCGCCCTCCCTCGCCCCTGGGGAAGCCGGAGGCCGCCTGGTGTCGCGGGCTATTTCTGGGTGTGGAGGGGGAGGGGAACGGTAAGAGGGACAGAGAACTGGGGCGCTGGGGTCGGGAAGCCCAGGAGCGAGTTTCTCCAGCCGTCATCTCCTCTATTAAAAGGGCACCCCCCCCCTCCTTGAATCCCCGCCTCCCTTAGCCATTAAACTGCCGGGCCCCGACTGAGAACTGGCCAACTCATCCTCCACGGGGCCCTCCACCCTCCGGACTCTGGAAGGGAACAAGGTCCTGAGGCAGCGCGGGTGAGGGCAGTCAACGAGCTGAAAGGTCCTGAGGAAGACTGCACCGACTTGAGAAAGGGCTTAAGGGGGCGGGGGGGGGGGGTCGCTGCGGCCCGAAGCCCAAAGGAAAGCAAAGGTCCTGGGAGAAGGGAACTCCTCGCGCCGCGCACGGCGAGGGGCACGCAGCCCAGCGCCGGGGATGCCCAGCTGGGGAAGGGGCTGGGGGCTGGGGGTCCCATCCTGCCCAGGGTCTTCCCGGGGGCGCTCACTCGGCGTAGCCCGTGCTCCAGGGCAGGCGACGGCCGGTGTCCGGGGGGCTTTGCACAGCCCGGCCAGCGTGGTCGTCGGCGCGTCGCAGCCCCCCTGGGCTCAGCTGCAGGAAGGTCGGTCGGGAGAAGCTCGCTCGAGCCTCTACCGTCTTCGCCGGCGCTGCGCTCCCAGCCCTCGCCGGAGGGCTCCTGGGCGCTTCTGGAGGAGCGGCGGTCTGCGCCAAGGGCGCGTTGGGCAGATCTGGGGACTTGGGGCGCGGAGGCGGGGCGCCCCCAGAGCTCACCAGGTGCGCCACGGCCGAGCGCACCCGGTTTAGCATGCTGCCTCCCTGCCCCGCCCTCGGCCGTGGCCCCGCCCTCGGCCGTGGCCCCGCCCCGAGGCGGCCCCGCCCCCTAGGGCGCGCGGTGGGCGGTGCTCGCTCCTGCGGGCTCTTCCCGTCCATTGGCTCTGGGCGGGCAGGGCGGGTCACGGCAAAACTTCCTCCTGCTCTGGGCCGCCCCCGGCACCGCCCCACCAGCTCGCTGCTCCTTCCCGCCGCGTTCAGGCTTCGCTCCGCCTCAGTTTCTTTGGGGAAGAAGGGTCTGCTGTTGTGGGAAGGGGACCGAGGGAAGCACATCCTATTTCATACGTGCTCTAGATGAGACATCAGCTAGACCTTCCCCATTGTGAAAGGGGGGCGGGGGTAGTGTCTCCTCGCCCTCGGTTCAGCCAGCCTGCCCGGAGGGTGATGGAACTGGTGACTTCAAAGCGAAACCGGCAGCTTCCGCCACCGCTGGGTGTGAGGCACCTGGTGTGACCTCTGGCTGAGGCTGCTGGAGTGAGAGCGACGGCGAGGGGCTGGTGCTGGGTGTGCTGTGAGGGTGCTGAGGACGCGGGCTGGAGCCGACCATCCTGAATTAGGGAGCCGGGGGTAAGTTCTTGGGCTCCTGACGGCGCTGTTCCCCATCGACGACCACCTCTAGATCTGGGAGAGCGGTTGCCACTCTGACTCCACTTTCCTTCTCAGGACCCAATTTCCCTCCACATTTAGGCCTCCCCTGACCACAGCAGGGCTAGTTAATAAGGATAACAACAATAACTGTTCGGACTTACTATATAGTAGGCCCGCTACAAAGCACTTTCCATATATTAGACCATTTATACCAAACAGCAGCCCTTCAAGGTGGGTTTTATGTTCTTTTTACCGATGACGCGCCTGTCATTTTACAGGACTTGCCGCAAGAGGTCACACAGCCAACGAGAGACTCACACCCGTGCCAGTCCCCAAAGGCCCAAACTCCGTTCTGTCTGATGAGCCAAGCTGATTTGTCGGGATCGTGGAGGAGGGGCTAAGGAGGAGGTGAATGGCAGAGAGAAGAGTGAGGGTTACCCCTCTTTGACCTTCCTCCTCTGAAGGCAGAGGCTGAGCCTGCAGGCTGAACAAGATCCGTAGGCACCGCCAGGGGGAGACAGAGGCCAGGCTAAGCGCTTGCTTGTAAGGGAAAAGTAGTGCTGAGTCCAAAGAGACCTGTTCCTAAGGCAGCTATCAGGGAATTGATCAGTACATCTCCAGAGACACCTCCTACCCCAGGCACTGTCCAAATGGGGACAAGGCCCTGTGGCCCTAATGCAAGTCAGGGTAGCCCTCAGGAATCACTGGCACCGAGTTCATGGTTGGGACTCCATCTCTGGGCTCTGTGGGCAGAATGCTCCCTGAACATAACCCTCTCTGTTCCTGAGCTAAAATGTGCCCCCAGAAGGGGTGGCTTTCCTCGCCGCTTCCAAATAAAAATCTCACACTGGTCATTCAGGTATTTTTTTTTTTAATATTTATTTATTTGAGACAGAGAGAGAGAGCATGAGCTGGGGGGAGGGGAGGTGCAGAGGGAGAGGGAGAAGCAGACTCCCCACTGAGCAGAGAGCCCAATGCCCGGCTTGATCCCAGGACCCTGAGATCATGACCTGAGCCAAAGGCAGATGCTTAACCGAATGAGCCACTCAGGTGACCCTTCGTTCAGGTCTTTAGGCTTGCTGTAATTATACCTACACTTCAGGCAGAGACAGCCAGAAAAGTAGAAGTCACAAGAAAAGAAAAACAAATCAGATCCAAAGGCCCATAGGGTGGCAAAGGCAAACGGAGGTAAAGACCATGCTGCTGCTATGGGTATTTCCCTCCTGTTTAAGAAAAACTGGAACCAGCTCTCAGATAAATGGCATAAACAACAACAGCAAGCCAAGACTGATGAAAAAATATAACATCCTGGCTATTTTTATTACTCAGTGTTTCTGGGGCAGTTGGCTTACCACTTCTCTGTGTCACCCTGCTCCCTAATACCTGCTCTTCACAGCACCCACCATGATGTGGCTACAATTAGGCCACAGAGCCAGGACAGAAAGATCCCTAGCTCCAGCACCAGATGGTCAGTGGGGATGTCAACAGCAAATAAAAAACAATTTTTAGATTTTATTTAATTTGTATTTAAACTTAAATAACCACATACGACTAGTGGCTATCCTACTGGATAGTGCAGTTCTAGAATCTTCAAGACTCCAAACCCTTGGGGGTCTTGGCAATCCCTCCTCACACGCAGCCCCCTCCCACCCCAGAAGCCACAAGGCGGAGAGTTTTGAGGGACCTTTTTGGGTTAGCCCGGCCTGCACCAGGGAGACGTTCACCCAGACTGCGGACAGCACGGCGGGACCGGCAGGCGTCTCCTCGCTCTTCTGGCCTCGGCCGCCAGGGGCCGCTGCGCGCGTCTGTGCCCGCCCGCCCCGCCGAGCGCACTGCGCCGCGCCCGGAGCTGTCCGGGAGGAGGCGGCGGGGGCTGGCGGAGCGGGGACGGCCCCCGGCGACAGGGAGGCGGCGGCGGCTGCGCGCTCCCTGGCCTGCCGGCGGGAGCCTCAGAAACACCCCGGCTGAGCCTTGCAGAGCTGGCCGGGCGGGCCAGGAGTTCCCCGTGCCCAGGGCGGGGTCGGGCAAGACCGTGATGCCAGTTTGGCCGAAGCCCCGCCGCCTCGGGGACCCGGCGGCAACTTGGTGAGGGCCACGGGGCTCCTGACTTGACAGCACCCGAGCCGGCTGCTCCCGCCTGAAGTCCGCCTTTCGGAGTCTTGGTGCGGGACTCAGAGGTAAGTGGGCACCGCCGTGGGGCGGGTAGATCCTGCGGCTGGGGGCTCAGAAATTTGGACCAGTGAGTGGGCGCCGGAGGGGGCCGGGAGAAGGCAGGGAAACTTAAAGCTTCTCGCGGTCCACATCCTCAACTCCACGCTGGTATGCTGTCTGCTAAAATCAGCTTCCCCATGCCTTGCATCTAGGTTTGGGGAAAATAGGCTGGTAAACTGAGGCAGGAGTGTGGAACCCCAGAACAAACCCCAGAAGCTTCCTTTTCCCCTTCTCCCTGAGGGAGAGAATAGAATGCCTGAGGACTCAGCCCAAAAGCACACCTCCCATTTTTGGGGTCTTGGGGTTCGTGGGGGAGCTGGGTTGGCGGGTGTGGCAGCTCAGAGGGAAAAGGGATGAGGACTGCCTGAGAGAAGACAGAGCTGTATTTGAAATGATCAAAATGAAGGTTCCTGAAGGGGACAGGGAGAGGAGATACCTACTCAGAAAAGAGATACATCTAGAAGGCTGGGAAGCTCTTGCCCGTGGAACACTCCCATCTGTGCGGTATTGGCACCACTTCCTGCATCTGTCTGCCTAGTCCTCTCTGGGCCCCACCATCCTACCTGCTTCATGCTTCAGCTCTACCTCCCTTTGGAGGCTGAGGGAAGAGAGGTCGTCGGGAGAAATGGAGAAGCTGTTGGGCTGGAGCCCCTGAGGCTAGGGACCGGGAGGCACCCCATTCTAGCCCTCCGGAATGGAAGTGGGGGTGAGGGTGGCAGAATGGAGCCAGCTCTGCTCCAGTCCGGGACACAGGTGCAGTGGGGATAGGAGGTGGAGGCAAAAGGATTCAAGACCTCAGGGTCTTTTCCAGGGGCCTCTTGGAGCAGCATTTTGTCAGATCCTGCTCAGGAATCCTTCCCTGGCCTTCAGCTCCCTCCCAAGGCCAGAACCCTGATAGCGTGGATTACTAGACACGCCCCCACTATCGGCCCTGCTTCACTCCCGGAACAGAGGAATCCTCAGGCTACTCTTCCCGGGCTAGCTGCCCTGTGTGTTCGCAGAGTCTGCAAGGCAGAGGACAGCCTCCGCCCCCCACCCTGCACCTTGAAGAACAGCTTCAGAATTGGGCTCTACTCCATTGTACCTTTTGTCCTCACCCAGGCTCTCCCTCACTTCTGCAGGGCCATGGACTCCCTCTGTCCCTGGCAACCCCCCAAGAATCTTTCCTACTTGTCTAGGTGGGGTGAATCTGAGGCCTGTGGATGAACAGACAGAAGCTGGAAGATCCCCAAAAAGGTGAGTGAGGAGAAAGCTGAAGGGGTGACAGTTGAGGGCGGGTGGTGGTGACAGAGATTAAGCACCCTATCCAAGGTCCCGGCATTTGGTTTGGTCTCTGGTGTTCCCAGGACTGCTGACGCCTGAGGGACTCCAGCGATGTCCCAAGGGGCCAGTCGTGCAGCCGAGAGGGGGTGGTCCAGACTCCTGGTATGCCTGGGCAGCCCCCTGCTGCTCTCTGCCTCTGCTTCCTTGGAATCCCCTCTGTTTCTAGCTCGTCCTCTGAGATAGATGGGAGGCCTGACCCATCAAGGATAGAGGAAGAGAACCAAGGAGAAGCCAAAGTAGTGGGGTAGGAATAGGACAGGCTTCTGGGCTCTGGGCTCTGCCACCCACGTGCTCCCTGGCCTGGGGCAGTCATTTGACTTCTATTAGCCCTGGTGTCGTTTCTTCTTTTCTAAATTTAAATTTGTTAAAATTGAATTGCTATTACATTCCTATAGTTCAGTTCAACCCTCCTCCCCCCAGTAAAAAGCAACAGGGAGAAAGATTAAGTCTCCCTTCTACCCCCATCTCTGAGTGAACCGGTTCCCCTTCTTGGTGGCAATCAATGTTACTAGGTTTTCTTTGGTACGTTTTCCAGAGCTAGCTTATGCATATTTAAGCAACATATATAATCCCTCCCTTTTACGCATTTTCTACACACCATCCTGCACTTTGTGTTTGTTTGTTTTCCCCTTAATGGTGGCTTATTGTTAGAGATCTTTGCAGTACGTAAAGCATTTCCTCCTTCTATTTTACAGCGGCCTGGATGTAACTGCATTTGCACAGATGCTCCACGGATGTATTTAGCCAGTCCTTTATTGGTGCTTGTTTAAGTTGTCGCCAGGCTTTTTGAGGATCAGTTTGCTCATCTGTGGGTACAAATAATCCCACTTTGTAGGACAGTTGTGAGGGCCGCAAGAGCATGTATGTGACGTGCCTGGGTCAAGTGCTCAACAAATGGGGGTCAGCAGTATTGTTCCTCCCATGGCACAGCCCTCCAAGGGACCATGTTGGGTTCATCCTTCAAGACCCTCTTAGGGGGCGCCTGGGTGGCTCAGTCATTAGGCGTCTGCCTTCGGCTCAGGTCATGATCCCAGGGTCCTGGGATCGAGCCCCGCATCGGGCTCCCTGCTCAGCGGGAAGCCTGCTTCTCCCTCTCCCACTCCCCCTGCTTGTGTTCCCTCTCTCACTGTCTCTCTCTCTGTGTCAAATAAATAAATGAAATCTTAAAAAAAAAAAAAAAAAGACCCTCTTAAATGGCATCTCCCCTACAAAGCTGTCTGTGGCTTTCCCGACCAGGCAGTCTCCCTGCTCCCTTTCCTACCACGGCACTCACCACTTTGTATGGTGAGCTTGTGCCAGGCGGAGAGCCCCTAGGGATGAGGTGTGCATCCTGCCCACCTCTGGGCCTCCCAGAGCGCATGGTGCTGGGGCCGGGTGCTGGGGAGCTCCTGCTCAGCCTTGAGCCGGCTGTGTGCTTCTCTCGACAGGATGCGTGAGAGGACCTCTCAGAACCGGAGTACGGGCCACTGGCTGCTGGTACTTTCCCTGGCCTGCCTGTGGACCCGCCTTGCCTCAGCTTCCTTGCAGCCGCCAACTCCCACAGGTTTGGGCAAGGAGGCAGAGCCTGGGGGAGGGTTTCCCGGGATGCCGGCAGAGCTGGGCACCGCCCCACCCCATTTCACAGCAGGCAGATCTCCAAGGCCAGGTAAGATGCAGATTCTAGGGGTTCTGGCTCCTTCTCTGTTTTTCACCCAGGAAAATCTGCCCCACTCTGCGATCCCAGCCCAGAGAAAGTGTGGGCAGACCTGTGGCTCACCTTTCCTTCCAGGCCAGAAGGTGTTCTGCAGGGAGAGAGGCCCTGGGGTGGAGGCTTAAGTGTAGCCTTCTGGCCTAATTCTGTGGTTTTCCTTCTGGGATGGCTAAAGCCTGTGTAAGCGGATGATCCTCCCCACGCAATGTAAGCCCCCAGGGCCCTTGCCCTCACTCGGAAGAGGCCAGAGGAAGTGGGGCCTGGTGGGGAATTCCACCTTTTTTCTGCCCAAGGGCCAGGCTCTGCCAAAGAGGGATGAGCGTGGCCTAACTGGGGCAGAAGGAAGGATAGGGCGCAGGAGGATTTCGTTTCCTCCTCCTCCCCTGCAGTTGGCCATCCTTTGAACACCCCGCCCCTTGGCTGGGAGGAGGGCCCAAGAACAAGCAGGGCAGGTGGGAGGGGAGCAGGGCTGCCGGGCAGTGTGGGCTGGGCCCCTGACCTTGTCTGGTCGCTCCAGTCCTGGTGAAACAGGGCACCTGCGAGGTGATTGCTGCTCATCGCTGCTGCAACCGGAACCGCATCGAGGAGCGCTCCCAGACTGTCCAGTGCTCTTGCTTTTCTGGCCAGGTGGCCGGCACCACGCGGACAAAGCCCTCCTGCGTGGACGGTGAGTGAGAGGCCGGGCCCCGGCGGGGAGGGCCCAATCACAGAGATAAGAAGGTCTGTCCAGGCCGCACCATCTGCTCGGGATGCAATTTCATACCAGCCCAGGGCTTTCGGGATCAGTCTCAAATGATGGGTAACCTCTGGGGGGAGGAGGGCAGATGGGGACCATCCCCGCTTCATAGATAAGGAGAGGTCCTGATCTGCGCCTGCCCTCCCTCTTATCCACACTCCCTGCCTAGCGCTAGACATTCTGTCACTTGAATCTTCTCTCCCAAACATGGCGTCAGACGTTGACCTCTTCACCTCCTGCTCCTCCACCGGCCTCTTACACGCACCCCCCTCTCATTCTTCGGTGGCCTTCACGTGGACACACATGTGTCACTCACACCCACCTCTCTCTCACGATCCCATCCGTGCTCGTGAGCTCACACTCACGTGGCAGGACTATAAACGTGCCCGCTTGTGCTCACGCGCATGCCTGCTTTGCACTCCTGGCCTGGGGTGTGCACTTGCTCACATACACCAGGTGGGAATGTTGAAGATCGTACCCCTCTGCTGACCGGAGGGCTCCTTCGAGAACTTGCCCTGCCTTCTCTCCGTGCTGTCTTTGGTGACGTGTAGGGATCAGTGGGATCGAATGTGATATGGTGTGTGCCCCAGCCTCAGCCCGAGACTGCCTTTCTGGGCAGCCAGGAGTCAGGGAAGACAGGGGGATGCAGGACCCAAAGCCAGTGGTGTGCAAACTCGCCCTTCATTCTGCACGGACTTGCTGCCCTTGACTGCACTCTGTCCTCGAGGACAGCTTAGAGCTGCCCTCACTGTCCCCTGCTCCCACAGCCTCCATTGTCCTGCAGAAGTGGTGGTGTCAGATGGAGCCCTGCCTGCTGGGGGAGGAGTGCAAAGTGCTCCCGGATCTGTCAGGATGGAGCTGCAGCAGCGGACACAAAGTCAAAACCACCAAGGTATCCGGGGATGGCCACTCCATCCCACCCTACTCTTCCCCCTTCACATGGGGTGGGACAGAGGGGGGCACAGGAGCCGGGGGGTCTAGGAGATCCATGTCCCAAGGTGAGATCCATGACTACGTGGGCACATGCCTGGTTGGACAGTCCCTCTGGACTGTCTCCACTCTGGGGACCGGAGTTAGGGCCTCAGGATTTGAAATCTGATGTGTCCTGGGCTAATCCCTGATGCTCCATACGCCTTGGTTTCCTCTTCTCCCTAGGGTGAGTTTGTCTCCCAGAAAATGCCAGGTCCATAAGAACAAGGTAGAGAATTAGGAAATGGTCCAGATAATTTGAAGGGGCATCTGTGAGGGGGGGTGGGGGGGAGCCACTCCGCCCACCCACCCCTGCCTCAGACCCCGCCCCAACCCCCAGGATTAACTCCCTACAGCTCACACCCATCTTCCACTCACTTTATTATCTTATTTCGACGGCACCCAAGAGGATTATTACTTTCGTGGTTCGCTGCCTGCTCCAGGGAACAAGGGGTAATTAAAATTTTATCAAACTCGTTAGCAATTCCATGTGTGTCATAGCTAATCAGTGGCATGGTTCTGCCATCACCCTTTGAACAGAGGAGTGACACTTGGGGCAAGGCAGAACTCTGCCTCCTGCCCTCCCTTTCCACCACCATACAGAGCAAACAAGCAGACACGTAAACAGAGAAGAGAAGGCAGCCTTCAGGGCTCTGAAGAGAGCCACATATTTGGAGAGCACAGAACAGAAGGAGCTACAGCAAGAAAAAGTGGCAAGCTTCCTATCTGCAAGCAGGCAAGGGAGACAGCCATTCTGAGTGTGGTTAAGACCAGAAGACAGTGAGACCCACCACAGGGCTTGTGACATTTGTCACTGTTTTATAGGTTTGGGTTGGTCGCCCATAGATCGCTGTGCTTGCAGTTTGGGTCACCACTCTGAGGCAAGCAGTGGTGAGGTGTGCTGATTTATGTTTGTGTAGGCCAAGCCAGCCAGGCTCTCCCAGTCTGCACTGCTTTAGGGCTAAGGGATCAGCATCAATGACCTTCATATGACCTATATCTCCTGGGGAGTCTTGGGCATTCCCTTCTCCAGCCTTCCCCCATTGTCTGCTCTCTAGGTCACACGATAGTTCTTGGGGTCACGGCCTGGACAGGACAGCTTGACCGAGCCATGGACTGAAGAATGGTATTGTTATCAGCCAACAAAAGTGGAGATTCACTTACCTGGACACACGCCCTGTGCCAAGTGCAGAATCAGTCTTTCCAGGGGCATTTCAATTGAGTTGCTCAGCAGATAAGGACAGATCTCCGGCCACATACCTAGTGTTGTGCTGGGTTCTCCTGGGGGACCCAGAAGAAGGTCAAGATACAATTCCTGCCCTTGAGGAATGTCCAGTCAAGTTGGAGAGTTGTTGAAAGATAGTTGAGCTAATTGACATTAAAGGTATGGGACTGTGTACAGCTTCTGGACCATATGCTGTGGGCACGTTGGGGGTACGAGGGTGAGACTCCCACAGCCCTTCAGCCACCCCCTCACCACAAGGCACGAAGACAAGACGTCACATTCACCACCCGCCACCTCCCTCCCTCATGTCAGTCTGAACACCCAGCAAGCTGCCAACATGCCAAAGGAAAACCTCTCCTCCCTGAGAGACAGCTGTATCTCATTTGCTTGGGACTGGGTTGACTTGGGGAAGGAAAGCCAACGTGAAGCCAGACAACTTTCCAGCAAAGCTCTGCGGAGGTGTGGCCTAGTTTGGGCTATTCATTGGGAATGGGATGGACAGGACCTTAAAATCGCCCCCATCCAAGGACCTCAGGTTTTTGTTTATTTGCTTATTTTAACAGATGAGGAAGCTGAGTCCCAAAGAGGTAAGATGACTTGCCCCAGATCTTCCAGTTTGGGCTTCCAAATCTCTAAGGCCTTTGGCTTAACCTGGATATGGGATTCAACTTGGGCCTTCCGTATTATTTGTAGCTCAAGAACAGGAACCTGCAAAGGACTGGCAGGATAGCAGCAACATTTTTCTCGGGAGACTCTAGAACAGGTCCCTGTTACCTGAAGTAATCCAGAATACTTATATGCCAGCATGTGGGACCACTGGATCTCTACTCTGCCCTCAGCCCCCCAAATTACTACCAGGCCCCATGACAGCCAGAGATCACTCACCCCAGTTACACCCGGGGCACTCTGAGCTGAGCTCCATTGTGTCTAGTCTGACACATCTCTTCCCGAGTGCTTAAGCTGAATGGAACTCTCAGAAGCTCTGGCTCCAGGAGAGGCTCTGGGTGGAGTCCAGGGCTGGTCACAGTCCTCTCCCTTCCAAGGCCCTGCTGGGTAGTAGGGGAGGCCTTGCAGGGCTGGATGGAGCCTCTGTCCAGGATTGAGGGTTGGCAGAGTCAGACCGACACAGGCTTCAGGGACTCAGAGACAGGGGCTAGTTGGATATCTCATCAGTAAAAAAGAATTATAGGCTCAGTGACTGCTAGGATCAGCTGGGATCAGCTGGGATCACCAGGATCACAGGGTGTGTGTGGAGGGTGTGGAGCCTGAAGGGAGGGGTATCAGTAGAGACCACCAGGACAATGCTGAATTCTGACACACACCCCCACCCCCATGATTGGCTGAGGTTGAATCTCAGCCCCTCCCTGCTTCTTTCTCTTCTTCCCCAAGCAGCAGAACCAAGACTGTTCACCCCACTCAGAGGTTTTTCTTCTTGTTTTTGTTTAGTTCTGGTTTGGGTAATGGGGGGGAAAATGATGCCAGCTTCTCACTCGATTGTAAATATCAGAACTCTGCCAACTTTGAATCCCTGCACATAGTGGGGTCAGGGAGTGGGGTAGTTAAGGAGTAGGTCAGAGGTTGTCATCTCTTTCTCTTCCTTTAAGACTGCGGAATGGACAGGGGTGCCTGGGTGGCTCAGTCGTTAGGCGTCTGCCTTCGGCTGAGGTCATTATCCCAGGGTCCTGGGATCGAGCCCCTCATTGGGCTCCTGGCTCCACAGGAGGCCTGCTTCTCCCTCTCCCTCTGCCCCTGCTTGTGTTCCCTCTCTCCCTGTCAAATAAATAAATAAAATCTTAAAAAAAAAAAAATAAAAATGCTTTAAAAGCTATTTATTTGGGCGCCTGGGTGGCTCAGTTGGTTAAGCGACTGCCTTCGGCTCAGGTCATGATCCTGGAGTCCCGGGGTCGAGTCCTGCATCGGGCTCCCTGCTCAGCGAGGAGCTTGCTTCTCCCTCTGACCCTCCCCCCTCTCATGTACTCTCTCTCATTCTCTCTCTCTCAAATAAATAAATAAATCTTTAAAAAAAAAAAAGACTGCGGAATGGACAAAGGGGTTTGGCAAACTTTCTGGAAAGGGTCAGGTAGCAATTATTTTAGGCTTTACAGGCCATATACAGTCTCTGACATGTTTTTCTTTGTTGTGTTTTGTTTTATTTTGTTTTTTAAAAAAGCCTCTTAAAAATGTAACAACCATTCTTAGCTCCAGGGCTGTACAAAACCAGACCCCAGGCTGTTTTTGGAAGGTTGCCAGTTCCAGTGAACCTTTGAAGGCAGGCCTTCTATGCAGGTTGGGGCTGCCTCCCTGCCTCCCAGCCTCCCAGCCTCCCAGCCTCCTGGCCTGCCTTCGGTGCAGTGGGAACCTGAGTGTGAGGGCTGGGTTAGGTTTTGTTTTCCTTCTAATGCTCCTTGAGAGATTGGTGAGTGAATTATTTAGGCTACAAATGAGGCAGCTTTAGCAGAGTCAGACAATAAAGGCCTGCTCTCCTGGAGGCCAGGATGTGGGCTTCTCCACTCCCTCCCCATCCCTTGAGACTGTGTCCAAGAAAGCAGGGGAGGGTGCCAGCCCCCTGCCCATCTGCTGCATCCACGAGCTGCTGGGCTATGAACTGGGGGAGCCTGAGAGAGTGGGGATGATGCTGTATAAATTCCCCCCACGGCCCCCACCTCAGCTGCCAACCACCACCAGCCCCTGCCTCAGCCAGAGTCCTGGTTCCCTGATCCTCCCTGAGGTCTCTCACCTCTGCTTGCAGAGAAAGCCTCTTTCCTCTGGCACATGCTGGAATTTGCTTCCATTTCCTCATGACCTACTCATACGTTTATTTGGTGGGCTTTGAGAGGTGTCCTTTATGTGCCCAGGAGAGCTCCATACAACACAGGAGGGACTGGTGGAGAAGAGAAAGCCTCCTACCTCCAACCGTAGCTCCCTAGGGTCCTGTTTCCAACGAGTCAATATTTGTGCCCATTTTGTAGCTACTTCAATGGCCATTTAGGAACGCAAGTTAATTTTCCTGGAGCATAGGGGTCCTGGAGTCATTTGTCAGTGGGCTGGGTTCTCAGATTCTCTCAGGTTAGCTGGTATCTCCACCCCCTCAGCTGTGAAGGTTGCCAAGTACCAGAGATCATGTGGTTAATTTCTGTGACCTCCTGGCAGTTTCATTAAGGTCTGTGAGTGACACTGTAATTAATGGCCCCTGACAGCTGCCTCAAGTTGAGGCTACAGCTTCCTAAAATCACAAGCTTAGAGCTAGAAGAGATTTTAGAGATCAGTTAGCCAACTCTCTCATTTGACAGATGAGGAAAGGGAAGCTCAGAGAGGTTAGGTGATTGGCTCAAAGTCACACAGCAAGGTGGTGGTATGTCCTACCTAGTGATCCAGATGAGTGTTCTTTGCTATACATTGCCTCTGTACTCCAATACAGATGAGGAACCTGAATGAAACCAGGATTTTTAGCAAGGATGGATGTGAAAGAGTCTCATTCTAAAATCTCCAAACCCCGTGGGTGCAAGGGGACAGAATGAAGAAGAATGGGAAGCATTTAGGGATATATATGCAGAAAGAGAAAAATAAAGACAAAAAGGAGGGATTGAGAAAACTCGTTCAGAAGAACATCAAAATACCAAAGCACAACACAAAATAATTAGAAGAAAACTGATGCCACACCCAAAACAGTGGATTTTTGTCCTTTCTGCAGGAGATAAAATGGAGCCCCTATCAACGTTTGGAAGACCTGTGAAGCCAGTTTTGATGGCTTCTGTCTTCTTTAGATTCTAGTGTGGGGGTCGGCAAACTAAGGCCCATGGGCTGAATCCGGCTCACTGACTGTTTTTGCAAATAAAGTTTTATTGGAACATAACTGTACTCATTGGTTTGTTATTGTCTAGGACTACTTCCCTGCTGGGACAGCAGTTGAGTCACTGTAAAGAGACCATAAGGCCCAGAAGGCCTAAAATATTTACTATCAGACCCTTTCTAGAAAACTTTTGCCAATCCCTGCCCTCGTGTTTAAATTGAACCTTTCTCAGTATGTGCCTACAATCTGGAAAACGATGACTCGACGCTGTATTTCTGGGTTTGGAATTTCTTGGAGGCCGTGCCTGTGTTGGGGAACTAACAACCAAAGGAATGAAGACATAAAGACTAGGAGGCCAAGAGAAAGACTTGAAGCAGATAAATGCTTCCTTAATACGTTATCGCACCCCAGATCAGCTCAGTTTAGTTTTTCCAAGTTCATGTAACTTCTACTTTTAAACTCAAGGGAAGTAACTGCGTGTGCACCTCTGAGTAAAGATGTGACTGTATACACACATGCTGCTGGTGTTTCTGTGCATCTGTGGATTTGAGTATCTCCACGCCCACAAACAAGGCTAATATTCACAATATAGAAATGCCAGATTAGCACAGAGACTGACTAATCAAGACAGAGGCCAGCCTGGATGTCAGACCAGGGCGCACTGGCTACCCGGGGCTCAGCGCACGAGGTCACGTTCCCACTCCATCTACTGTGACTGAGATGGGACTTCAGAACAGGAGAGGGCTCATTGCTCTCTTCCCCCACTGTGAACAGCTAAGCTGGTTCCTGACCTCCTGGGACTTGTGATTTGTCACTGAGTGTGGGTTATGGATCTGGGTGTGTGCATGCGTACAGAAGCTACTGGACTCCGATGGCTGTAAACATTGTATTTGGAAGAGACATGTAGATGAGGCATAAGGAGGGCCAGGCAACTACCTTTTAAGCCTTACATGAGGGTACAAACTCCTTTTCAGTCTGGCTTAGGGGGAAAGGGTTCCAACCATTTCAAAGGTGGGATTGATTCACATGTTTGACCATCCACCATCACCTCTGTTAGTGAATGTCTATCTTGTGTCAAGCACCGTGTTAGGCTCTTTCTATAGGTAACAGTATGTTAAATGGAACATTTCCCATCTCAAAATTTGGGCAGAGGGCCCAAAGGTCAGGGAAAGAAAGACAGGTATCAACTATTCTCCACTACCACCACATTCTAAATCAAGATGGTGGACTATTTCTGCAGATTTGGAAAAGGGGTGATCAATAGTCCATTACCCATGTCCAGACTGTATAAGAGAGTTCAAGTGGAAAAACAGGTGGTAGTGAAAATCTGTCTGGAGAAGGTTGCCACTCCTCCCTCCCCCAGCCAAGGGGAAGGTTAGGTGTTGATTCTTTCTTACTATACCCTACTTAGGGGGATTGCAGAAAAGAACTCCAAGAGCTTGACTTGAATCGATTGGACAGTGGGGCACAGAGGGACTCAGGCCTGAAAATGATCTGGAAGCCAGTGGCTACGGTTTCCTGGCCTGGATAGTGAGCTCAGAGAACTCTCTTGGGAGCAAGCTGCACATCCAGATTTTAGTGGAGCACAGATGTTTGCCTGTTTTCTGAGGGCCTGTGTGGACTGCCCAAGAAGGCTGCCTGGAAGGGAGAGGTAGCCCCAACTGGCAAAGACTGCCACAAGTCCTGGGGCTGAGAGGGAGTCCTAGATGGCCAGTGGGAGGAGGTAGTGCCCATAAGTGGGACATACCAGCAACAGGGCATCTTCCAGAAAACTGGTGACAGTGTTGCAGAAGACAATGCCCAAATCCTGAGATGGAAAAGAGACTTAGAGAAACTCATAGACATGAAACAATTTGCTCACTATCAGGCAGCTAATACATGGCGTGTGGTGGTTTTGTACTGTGTTGATTTGGGTAAGCTGAAACTATATTTCCCAGAATTCTCTTCCTTAGAGTGCTGAAGTTAGAAGGCAGAGAAGTGCATCAGTGGCAATTATTCTCTGAAGGTTGTCATGGTTAGAGGTGCCAGCAGGTCCCAGGCTATATACCCAGGCACTTTCCCTCACTCCACATCAAACTTTTCCTTTTTCTTTCTCTTTTTTTTTTTAAAGTAGGCTCCATGCTCAGCGTGGGGCCCAAAGCGGGGCTTGAACTCATGACCCCGAGATCAAGACCTGAGCTGAGATCAAGAGTTGGATGCTTGGGCGCCTGGGTGGCTCAGTTGGTTAAGCGACTGCCTTCGGCTCAGGTCATGATCCTGGAGTCCCGGGATCGAGTCCCGCATCGGGCTCCCTGCTCGGCAGGGAGTCTGCTTCTCCCTCTGACCCTCCTCCCTCTCATGCTCTCTGTCTCTCATTCTCTCTGTCTCAAATAAATAAATAAAATCTTTAAAAAAAAAAAAAGAGTTGGATGCTTAACCGAATGAGCCACCCAGGTGACCTCATATCAAGCTTTTCTTAGCAAATCTCAGCCCTTCTGACCAACAGCAACCCCAGGCCAACCTCCAGATACAGAGGCAACAGCCTTCCATGTAAACTCCACCAACTCTCTAGATCCTGCTCTAACAACTGGACATGCCTGATTTCAGAAGGCTGATTAGTATCTTTTCTCTGATCCTCCAACTTCTCCATTCAGCTGCATATTTCCCCAGTTTCTCCAAAAATGTAGAAGGCCTTATTCCTCTAATAAATCCCTTATTACACAATACTGCTACTGTTTCTCCTTTCCTGATCGAACCCTGGTTAACACTATTAGTGTCATTATCAAATCAATCTCAAATATATTACAGGTAGTAGAAATGATTCCGGAGGAATAGAACCTTAAGGATAGGAATCTTGAGTTAATATGGTTAGATTT